ATATCAGGCCTGCAGCAATTCATTTCTTTCTAAATTTTTAATTTATTCATGGTTAAATATTTTTATCCAATCTAAAATTAGCTGAAATCACCATTCTATCAGTTTTCCGTGATTTTCCGTTAACTGGGATTTGGAAAATGGCGAAATAGGATACTCAAGTTGCATGTATAATTTCAAGCATCATAGCTTTGTTTTCTGCACATTGAAAGTAATCCTGTCATTAGTGAAATTCGGGTGGTACTAAAAACCCATAAAACAAATGCCTGGAAAATTGTAGACCAACAATGGCTTTTTAATCTCAGTATTTTAAAAGATTGCATCGGATGCATAACTGTGAAATCATTGATGGAAAATCTGCAGATTTGTTTGTACTATAATTATACTATATTTTGTACTGTAATTAGTTCAATTATTTCATCAAGAATATCTTCTAAGGAATATTTTACGCTCCACAAAAGTTTCATCGATAGCTTCATCTAAATTGTTCCATAGACCATGTATTGCAATTACGTAGAAAATAATTTAATTGCAAAATTTTTAAAATGAAACCAATCATCTTTGCCAATTTTGCGTTACGTGAATGCGTGTAATTCTATAATATTTTGGTGTTCCAGCAGCTTTAATATCTCAACTCCTCTTAATAGATTGCTTATAAGCGGCTGAACAGCTGAAGATTAAATATCACATAGGATTAGAAGTAGAAATGGTGCTATACCATTAGATTACAATCTTAATAAAAGGCATTTTAATCGATAAGCAGAAATCGAAGCGATTATGCTTGAGCTCAATCGAAGCAACACGCTAAAACCTCATTCATGCATCGCTCATGCATCCAGTGTCTATAATTAATTTTATATATTGTTGATTAAAAAGCAACTAAAAATTCATGAAAGACATTCCATTCTCTTAATTGCAAATCCTTTATTTCCCAACTCCCATATGAAAAAAATATATAAAATTAAAAATATATAAAGTAAATAGGATATACTTGCATAGGACACTGAGCTAATTTCTTTTTTAATTTGATGTTCTCGGTAAATTATCTGAGATGAGCTCGTATTTTGAATACAATACAAAACTAGGACGAGACTTCATTTCACTTAGAGATTTCAGTGAAAAAGCTACTGTCGGAAAAAAAATTTTGTAATCGCTTCAGTTAATTTAATGGCAATTAATTAATAGCTAACAATTTTTTATATTTTATGATATTACTACCAAAATGATTTGAATAACGTTTGCTCGTTATTCCTTAAATTAATAAGAATTCCATAAATTTATTATGAATTGGAAGTTGAAGCTCAGAGCTGCGAAACTATCTTTCATTACAGTTTTTACAGTTCTTTCTTCATTTTTATGAATTGTATTTCAATAATGATTTGATAAAAATCTACATTTTTCCTATGCCACTACTATCAATTAGTTCAATCTTCTTATCTCATGACCTCACCACTTATGTTCTCAAATGGCTTTCACCATCTAACGATCTAGGTACAAATACATTGTTCTCAAATATTCCTAAAGTCTTTCATATTCAACCCATTTTATTTTTATTATTAGTGTTAACGAATCAATTAATGGCTTTAAAACGCAATAATCCACCACACTGCGGATGGACTTTTGACCAGTTAGATCAATTAGACCAGTTTGACCAGTTAGCAATAATAACCATCGACGACGTTTTCGCGCTGATTAATTTTTTCATACTTTTTATTAGACAAGTTTTTATTATATGAGTGTTTATTTTATTGTTTGTTTGACTGTATGGAATGCATTAAAACACTCGTAAATCGGAGTAGCAATCCCGAAGATTTGGGATCACTGGGTATTTCTTCCGGAAACCTCCGTCGCCGAACAATATTTTCTTTTTTTAAGTTCATTTTTTCTTTGAGAGATTTGAATTAGAGCGTTTCTAGTTTTTGTGGTTCTTCGATCTCGTTCAGTTATGCCGTGGCTTCCCTTTTATTTTTCGCTATTTCTTTTGATTCGTTTAACGCATCAAATAATTAAATTTTCTTTTGCATTGTTGGCTTTCGAGCTTTCTTTTTTTCTATTTTTTGTACTGAATTCACTAATTTCCTTTCAAATGACACATCATTTGCTGTCGCTAATTAAGCACATAGCGCTTGCCTCACCACCTGCCGAAAATAAATGAATAAGCGGTCACCATTTCCGCTAGATTCGGCTAGCTTAGCTGGCTGTCAGTGGGATTAAAAATGTTTTCCAGGGATCCGTATGGCTAGAAGAAACTGTGGGTCAAATATTTGACTTTTAATAGCACAGATAGGTTTTTTGTAGAATGCAAGAATCGCGTCATTGCCTTTTTACATAATTTAACTATTTTCCTCTGAATTATCTTATTTCCTAGTCAAATAAATAGCCATAGGCTTGGGTTCAAACCGACAAAATGAAAGAATAAAAAATTAAAGGTTAAAAAACAATAAAAATGAAAAATTAAAAGTTTGAACTGACGTAACCAAATTCATAATAATTAATAAGCCTCATAATAGAGTGGCTCACTGGGTTATTACTCAGTTCAGAACGCCGATATGAGGTTCGATTCCCGCAGGAGTAAAAGTGTATAAAATTCCGGGTGATGCTGGCTACTCACCTGTATGTATTTCTATCGCCAAGAGATTCCCTGGCTTATTGTCCAATGCGACAAGCCAGTGGAGCGAGTTTAACCAGTAATGGTGAATACTCTTTAAAAAATAAATAAGCCCTTTTTAAATCAGTTTTGTTTTAACCGAAACTATCCACAAAAAAAAGCGATTTTCGAATTTAACTTTCGATAATTCGAAGATGCTCTACTCTGGAAAATATGATAATTAATGCTATTATATTCCAAAGTTTTAATTTGATTTAATTTTATCTGCTTAATTTTTTTAAATTAAGTCGTTTAATTTTATTAGTTTAATTGTAAATAAAATATTTTATGTTATTTTTTGTTAATTTTCAATAATTAAAGAGATATTTACGATAAAATTAGAAAGAATTTGATAGAAAGAAAATCTAAATAACTAATCGGTGGAAATTTAATTCTAAATATTTTAAAGTTGGTAGCAAATCGCTTAAATATTGAATTATTTGATTTTTGCGAGTTACACTTAATTGATGTCCTAAAAAATTTTTCGATAAAAATCTTATGCTCGATACGATTCTAATCTATCATTTTCATTTATATTTTCAGTCTTCATTTGTTCTTTCACTGAAATGCTGAAAAGCTTTTCAAAATTATTAATGTGGGTATTTTTTTTCTTCATTTATAGGAGTTTTTAATAAAATTTTTTTTTGAAAATAGAAAGCAAATCTCGAATTCCTCTCGACTTAGATTTTTACTGAATATTTTAATGTTAATATTTAAATATTTAATGTTAATATTTATTACTATTTGACTTTAATGGCAGAAAAAGGTGAGTGGCAATCATAAATGCTTAATCTGGCTATGATTAAAATGAAAAATTTTCGTCAAGGATTATTTGGAATTACATGGAAGGATTAGTCCACAGTAGAATTTTTTAATGGTTATTTTCAGAGAGATTAACTTTTTTCGCAGCAGCTACTTCCTCTGAAAGTTCATGCTTCCCACTCAGCTACTCTAATATTTATTTAATAAACGTATCAAAATTTCGAGATTTTAAGTATAATTGGTAATTATCAAAAATTTATGAATAATGAAAAAAGAAAATAAAATGAAAAAATTTTAGCTTAATCTTATATGGAATTGTGGCAATAATGGCGTCCACGTTACAGAGATTTATTATGATGGAATTTTTTTTCGACTATCATACAACGATTATTATGATAGAAATGGCTATTATTTTATTGTCAATTGAAATATTAAGGTTTGCACCTGAATATTCTTTTTTGGTAGAACTTAAATTTATCGGTAATCGGTAAAGCATCAACCACATTATGATAATATCAGTTAAATTGAACTAGTTTATTCGGTTTACTAGTTAACTTGTAGTGTGAATGGTTACATTATTCAGTGTTACCTCATTAAATTTAAATTTACATATTATATATATATATATATATAAGAACATTATATATTTTATATATTTTATATAAAATATATAATGTTCTTACACTATTTATATTTGCCAAAACCCAATTCTTTGGGTTTTTCTGAATATTTTATGGCCAGGAATCTTAGAAGAATTTGGCGAAAATAATCAATTAATAATCAATTAATAAGTGATCAAAAAAATTCATTCGGTTTTTTAAAGTGGAATTAAAATCAAAAATGACAGCAATTTTATTCAGGAAAGCAGTTTATAATCTTTTTCAAATAAAATTCCCGATGAATTTATAAATATTGCTATATTATCCTCGATCTCCGATTTTTAGAAGAATATGCCTGATTTCCGGCGTTTCTTAGTTTTAAAATTACCGATTGCATGGCTACTCAAAGCCAAGAAAGGGTGGTAATCGTATAACATAAAGTATGGAGATATGGAAGATAATTAGGATTTCCTGACCAAAGCTAAGGAGCTCTTATCGGGTTTATTCTTTGTATAAACGATTTCATTATTTTCGAGCGCTTTCATGAAGAGCCATGGTGGTATTATTACCTTTATAATCACAGATTTTTTATGGGGCAATGTATCTGCAAAGCACTGTAGCTATGCTGAGGATACCGACACATTTAATCAGTAGCAAGAAGCTTATAAAGGACGATGCTAGCTGAAATCCACCATAAAAAACATTTTTCTGGTGAATCCGAAGCTTTGGTAGAATTCACTAGATTCACAACCTGAAGAGTAAAACGCTGAAATTTTCAGCCACTTTATATCAAATTCTCACCAATTGCGGAGTAATTTCGAGGAGTAATATAAATGCGAACGAATGGTTTTATCATTTTCGGAGAACCTTTCAGCAGACTCTTATAATGTTCGATTTTAGTGCTGGTCTCACTGTATAAAATCATAATGATGGAATTTGTTCATTTTGGATTAAGACTGAGACTGAACTACTCTTTTCGTTGGCCCACTGTTTAGATGCCGTGCATATTCTGTAGACTGCTTGTGGACTTAGTTCCAAATTTAAACTGATAAAGTGAATAAACGCTCGCATGACTATATTCGACGTAGAAATGATTTCATCGCCCTAGAAGTTCTGTAAATACGATATTACCTCAGTTGATTCAGTACTTTTGTCCTTTCTCTTTGTTCTTTACCTTTTGATTGTGTATTGCAGTAGGTGTATCGCTTTCAACATATTTTTCGTTGTATTGAAAATATTGCAAAGCTGAGTGAATTTTTTTGATTGCGCGATGATTATCATAGTTGTTCTATCATTTTTCTTTAATTTTTTCAGGTATTTAAAAATAATCGAAATTAAATGTTATACAACAGAAAGTGGTAAAATCATGTTAGCTCCATCAATATTGTATGGAACATGTCTGTATATAACGTTGAAAGTATCTCATAACACTTCTTTAGTAACATTTCATCCAATTCGATCATTTTCACCAGTTCTTACCATTTTACTGTCGCTTTATGTTTTGCGTAAAAAATTGCCAACAAGACGAATTATGTTTATAATATTGCTCATTTGTTTATCAACATCAGCCACAAGTATAATTTTTATTTCATTTAATTTACTAAATTTTTATAAGTATAAATTTACTCAACAGTCGTAATACATTTAGGTAGCCATAATAAAATTATTCAAATATTTAGATATATTTAATTTCCTTAATTTACTTAATTTCCTTAAAAATTAAATACATTTAAACATTTTAATTTTCGTGCTAAATTTTTCTGTTACACTATTAGATAAATAATAAATATTAAATAATAAATAATAAATATCAAAAGGAAGTCAGTTTAATGGAAAAAAAAGCAAATGATTTGGATTCACCATTTTTGGTTAGCTTCTGTCGGTGCAATCAGAAGTTTTCACCAGAGAAGTCACTTTGTTAGAAATTAAGCGGATCACCAGAATCACCCACTTTTTAATGATAATTTCACTCGCATCGAGGGCAGAGCTGGTAACTTTTAACACCCAGTCTCAAGCACTACCCATTCGACTATTCTGCACCTAATAAAGAGGAAATGGTGAATGAAAAATTTATAAAGAAAGATAACTGAAATCACTGAATTTTTAAATTTAAATTATAAATTTAAATTTCTAAATTTTTAAATCGTATCTTAATTTATAATACAAAAATATGGCAATAGAAATCTTCTTTTTCATTTTCTTAGGGATATAGTATTTTCAATAAAATACTACATTTCAGCTTTTTTGGGCTATTCGACGGAATTATTCAGTGCATGGTCCTATCTATTTGGATTCGCAGTATTATTTATGCAACCAACAGCATTTGTGATGATTGAACATCGATCGAAGATGATTGCGAATTGCTACGGAAATACAAAGAACGCTCCGTTAGATGTATTATATATCAATACATTTAACTCCCTTGGGTTGTTTCTTATTTTCGATCTTTTTGAGGTTACTTTTTATATTTAAATTCATTGAGATTTTTTCTACTTGTGGTACTTTTACTTTTAGACCAAATCTGAGAATTTACGAACTTGGCGCAAATAAGCCGAGTTCTCTAAATGGCCAATTTGTTATCAGCGAATAATACGATAGTGTTTCTAGAAATCTAATGTGAAAAATTTGCAATATCTTAGTGAATCACCAAAAAATTATTTATTATGATTACTTATTATGAGCAGTTTTTGCTTAGGCTTAATACCCTATTATTGAACCAAATTTCCTAAAGTCGAATGTCCTAAAGATATTTGAGGATTTTTCAAAGATTCTTTTTAAAAAAGCTGTCCTGTCGTTATGATCGAATTTTATAATTGTACCAAGTAACTCTCGGGCAAAGGGTTCTCGTGCTAATAGCTAATGGGCCTATCCAAACCAGAAATGATGAGTGAGAAGAAGAAATCGGTGATTTGATAATTATGCAAATTTCGAATATTTTAAACAGTATGCGAAGATAAAATTTTAATTTTTTAAGAATGAAATACGTGACTCTATAATGTATATTTTTTCCAACGCAACACAATCGCTGATATATCTAATGATATTACTTATATTCCTCGGTATTTTAACGCAAATTTTAACCTTCTATAGTATAATTTTAGTCGGATCGCTAAATTTATCCATTGCAATTAATATTCAAATTGCTATACAGGTACATTTCTTTCGATTTCTTTATATCTCTACTTTATCGCGTTGAAGTATTAAAAGCTGAAAAAACTGAAGTTTTTTGAATAAATGTTGAGCCTCAATATGAATACATATATAGTGCTGAGAACCAAGAGTCAATACAAATTGATGTCTTAAGCGTATTTTTGAAAATAAATTTTTGAAGAGAAATGGAATTGAACAAATTTCTAGAAGGAGATTGGACCTATTTCTTTGATTCAGTGAAAATATTTTTTGATAAGTATTTTGATGTTTCGGTTAAGCTAAGATTAACTTAACTAACTATCATTTATATAGCTTAATTAATGAAATGAAAGATAATTATAAAATCAGGTCTGAGGTTTGAAGTGTTTAGCAGTCAAACCTCTATTTAGAAATATGTGATGAATTAAAGAGTCAAACGAAAATATCACATTATGAATAGCATAAGATAAATAATATAAATTGATAAATATAAATATAAAGCATTGTCAAGCGATCATATTACCAATTCGGTTGAAAGCAACAAATAAATAATTTAAAACTAATTTTTCATGAAAGTTTTGCTAAATAGGTAAATTTACATAAACTGGCAAGTCAATAGATTCATTCATAATTCACACATAACAATGAATAATTAGAGAAAAACAACCAAAAAATGCAGAATGATAATATTGTGATAATCGGAAATAATTACACAAATAAATAATTTGATTTATCTGAATAAAGAAACATAGGAGAATTTTAAGAATTTCAACTAAATTTTTTATTAAATTTAATTTATTTTATTATCAAATTTTAAAGTTACTTTAATTGTACTTTTGACAAAAAAAAGTGCGGGGCAGCAATTATTTAGACTTATATGAATAGATCAGTAATATTTTAGGTATTTGTGAATTATTATTTATCTGCGAACAAATATGAAGAAATAATGCCGGAATCCATAAATATAATTGGATTTTTTATTTTATTCATATCAACTATTTCATTTTTGCTTTTGAAAAAAAAATCATATTTATTATCTATCGGATAGAGGTAATTGATAATGTTGTTGTAACTGGTGCCCATGTATATATATATATATATATATATATATATAGTTTATCGTCTATAATCTGAGTTCAAAGTAATTCAAACAATTTATCATTTCGATGCGAGTCTTTTTTTACTGTGCTTATTGTTTTTAAATATTTTCCCATAAGTAAAATTGTTGTTAAAATTTTATATTTATGAGAATAAGAAAGCTTTAAGCGAAAACAACAACAAAAAGAGACAGACATCTCGGCTTTTAAAATTATTCTATTGGATCAATTCCATCGAAGAAGAAATTGTTGGCTGTAGGAATCCATCCGATAATCTATTATTCTATTTCATTAAGCTGGTATCTAATTTGAATGAACTGAAGAAATTTGAATAGAAGCAGTCGGTATTAGACTTGTCATTTGCTTTGCCGAAATAGTATTTTTACCACAATAGATTTAAAATTTTTTTTATTCAGATGTTTTCCACTTAAAATAGTTTTATGTTTAATAAATTTTTTTTATAAAACTATTTTTGTATGCTTGTAAGATATTTTGTCAAATAAGTGCTTACAATAATATAATAGAATGCTTATTTTTTAGAATCTTCTCAAGTATCATGGTAGCCCTCCCGTTGCAGATGCACTCTCAAGTTGGGAACCTCTTTCAACTTTTAGTCCTTAATGAACATCTTGCAAAGTAATTCTATTCTACTGATGGCCGGTGGGCTTAAATAACAATCAGTTTCTTGTCTTCCGACAAATTAATTTTTTGTGAATTTTAATGAAAAATGCATCATAAATGCGTTTAACTAAATGAATTTCGTATAATTTCGTAATGTAAAACTTTGCAATTTGTTTATAGGCAAAATTTAAGAAATTTACAAATGGTTTCATTCCATAAATAAATTGTATTTGCTCATTTCTATTACTTTTTCACTTTTTCAGCAGTAGTTTTAACAAATATTTTAAGATTTAAAATATTTAAAAAGATAGAAAAGCGGGATTAGTACTTTGGAAAAAGAATATTTTTTGTTATAAATGTATTTCTTCACCCTTTTGTGCATTTTTTGAACAAATTCATAGACAAATTCATTCATTAGAAATTGTAAATTTTAATTTATGAAAAAATGATAAAATGAATGAACGAAAGAAATTTTAGATTTTAAATAATCGTAATTCATAAATTAAATTACATTTCAACTTTATTTAATTGGCTGTAATCACTTCAGTAAATTACAAAGTAATTTTTACGATAATACTAATCGGAATGGTCTTAAAAATCATTCATTTTTTAAAATTAAATCGCTATTATAAATCGTTTTACTTAATTTTAATTTTTAATTACTTAATTTTTCCCAATAGCATCCATTTGAAACAAAATTTTCATGAAAAAAAAGGAATAAAGATAAAGTTTTGCGCTGATGAAGTTAAAAAGATGAGGAAATTCAAGTAGATCTTGAACCTTGTACCTTGTAAATCGGCTAACGTAACCTCAATCCATTATCTCCAGCACTGGCAATGAAATAAACATAAAATAAATCGTAATAATTAATGTAATTCGAAAGATATAGATATAAGAATAAAATCTTATAAGTAAAAATTCAGATTCTTTCTCAATTCTTCCGATCTTTAACGAGACTGTATAAATTCGGTTTAGATTTCAGCTTTTAATTTATTAATCACATTTTCGATGAATTAGTTTTAAATTTTATATTTCATATCTAAATTGTGGTTTCATTATTAGTTTAATACCAATTTTTGGGCTGAAATATTTTTAAAAAACTGCAAAATTCATCGTTAAACATCGTTAAAAGGATGACTAACGGACATTGAAGTTTGTTTACAGTGTGCTGAACTTTTATTGAGTTGAAAGCTTGGATATTAAATCTTCTGCAACTTCTTTCAATTTTTTAAAAATCTCTTTGTCATAAATTCGAAACAAAATCAATGAAAAGGAGATCATGTAGAAGAGATCACAAGAATTGCTCAGACATCATTTTTTCTTCCTTAAATCATTTGTTTGATAAGTTTCTTGACATATTGGTCGGTTATAAAGTTGCTAACAGCGACAAAGTGTATTATCATTTCTCATATTTTTCGCATTTCTTCGATTCATTTTAAAATTTGCTGTCAAATAATGCAATACGATTAATGCATTATCATCGTTGATTACGGAGTTAATTTACTCTTTTTTATTTTTTTCTCTTTTTTAAGGTTTTTTCTTTATTTTTTTCCTGAATTTTCCATTTGATGATATATATTTCAGGGGAAAAATCTATTACTAGCTATTTGTATGAAAAAATTACATTAAGCAACTTAGTAATGTGAATGATTGATTGACTTTACTAGTCAAATATGTAATATATCATTGATAGCGGGATGCTTAAATGAGGCCATTAGAAACTAATTTTAAAATTACTAATTTCGACCCTCTTAAGAATGAACTTAATGACTAAAATTGCCACTGAAAGCAGTTCAAAGTTTAAATAGCATTTTCTGAATTTTCTGGATTTTCTACTCTTCTCATTTCTTGATGGCTTAAACTACTATGTCTCCCACTCACTTTTTCGGAATAAATTGCATTTCGTTGAAAATGAATTAATTTTAATTTTATCTTAATTTTTATTAATTTAATTTAATTTTATTTTAAACATAATTATTGGACGTAATTATGACGAGATAAATGAAGAGTGAGAATTAAGAAGGTGTGGGATTAATTAAAGAATTAATTAATCCTTCTTAAGATTAAATCCAAAGTTATGCTCGCTTGTCTTGTATTCAAGATCAATGCTATTCATTTCTATTTAATGGCCCTTCTATTTGCACTAAGTTAACTGAAAACGCAACCATCATACCTTTTATCATAAATTTAGTATCATAAATTTTTCCTGCATTTTTTAACTTAAATCATAAGAATTTTTCAGCTAGTAAAGCATTTAAATTAATGATAAATTTTGCGAAAAATCAAAACCGATATTTCCAAAAAAATTTTAAAAAAAAATTATCTATAATTATTTTCCCGGAAAATCAACTTTTTTTGCGAAAAACAAAGAACATAGCTTTTTTGTCGTTTTGTTAACGCAGAAAAGTTCGAAATGTATTTAATGAATAAAGCGTAATTTAATTGTTAATTAAAGCGAGCCTTAACTTCCGTTCGACATTTCCATTTTCCTGTTTCCGTGTCTCTATCAATTTCTTCAAATTTGTCAACATTGTTGAGTCCGCGTTGCCAAAATTTCTTCTTCTTCAGTTTTTATTTTTTCCCATATTTCTCAATCTTTTTTTACTTCAAAACAAAATTAAATTA